TCAACGTCAAAGGGACACATCAAGTGGCTGCCACCCACACGACCAACCAGGGCCGGGACAAACTGCAACCGAGGTACATGCCCTTAGCGGGAACCGAACCCGGGGTCTCTCTGGACTGCAGGCTGACGCTCTAACCGCTGAGCCAAACCAGCCAGGGCGGCCATCCAGGTTTTGATGGTACTCAACACAGGAGACCCCATGGGTATTTCTTACCAGAGAGCACTGGCCCCGACCACGCCTCCGCTTACACCCACCGGCCAGACCATGCGAGTTCAGGACGCTTCCTCACACTGTGCCCAGGGTCTGCTTGTCCCGCCCCCGCTGTGCTGCTCTGGCCCATAGCTGGGCCTCAGCTGCCGTGACAGCCTCCCAGCCCCGCCCTGCCCCTCATCTGTTCTCACAGACCCCACATCAGCCTTAAAAACCTGAGTCAGGTTGGACTACTCATCCCCGGCTGCCAGCTCGGAACCCCAAGTCCTCCAGGCACCTCTCGGACCTGCCCCATACCCCCTGTTGGGACAATGATGCTGTTCATGGAAACCCCCAGGACTTCTGCACTTGCTGGTCCAGTCTTCCCCAGATGCCAAGGGAGCCCGCCCTCCAGGGGTAGGTTTCTGCTCTAAGGTCACCTCTGCATCCCTCCGGGTCTCCCCTCCCCTCACCCTGCTCATGTTTATTCACATAGGGCCCCCCTCGATTTCAGGGTCTCTTCTCCCCTCCCCCTGCTCTTGTTTATTCACGTATGACAGCGGCCCCCGCAACCCCCCCCCACCTAGATTTCAGCCCCAGGGCCAGAGAAAGAGCGAAGTTCTTCAAGCCCTGGTTTCCCAAGTTAGGGGAGCCTGTCCCGAGACCAGGACTGAAGTTAGGAGGGAGCCTGTCCCGAGACCAGGACTGAAGTTAGGGGGGAGCCTGTCCCGAGACCAGGACTGAAGTTAGGGGGGAGCCTGTCCCGAGACCAGGACTGAAGTTAGGGGGGAGCCTGTCCCGAGACCAGGACTGAAGTTAGGGGGGAGCCTGTCCCGAGACCAGGACTGAAGTTAGGGGGGAGCCTGTCCCGAGACCAGGACTGAAGCTCCATGTGGACCCCCAGCACGAGCACCGCGACCCGCCAGGTCCCGAACAGCTGTGGGAGGGGCCGTGTGCCCATCGTTGCTGTCAGAGGTGCGGCCTCTCGCTGCTCAAGGCCAGGACTCTGTCCCACAGCAGCAGAGCTGGTCCAGCCTCACTCGGACCCGAGTCTCCTGCCTCTTGTGCCGTCCACTGCTCCCCAGGCGGTAGCTCACTAACAGTTTCCATAACTTGTCAATAAAATGACTCCGAAGAGCTGTTTCCGACTCTCTCCCACTAACGACCACACGCTACTCCAGTGAACCCTTTTCCAAAAACAAGGCAAAACAAAAGCTCATGACGAGAAGCCTTGACAACGCAGACACGAGCTGCCTCCTTCCGCGCTCACGCACCTAACCCACGGCCACGGCGAGTGTCGGGCCACAGCTCGGCCTCAGAGTGAACCCACGGACACGCCGAGGGCAGCAGGAATGTCTGCAGGCGGCGCGTAATGAAGTGTCCCCGGACCCGAGGTGTACTTTCTGTCAGGCCCAGCCCGGCGCTGGCTGAAGCAGCACGGCTCCCGGTCCAGCCCGGCGCCGGGAGGCGTGGACGAGCGATGACCCATATTCCCAACAGAGCACGGTGTCTGCCGGCAGAAGCAGCAGCCTTTTACCACCCGCGTTCGTTTTCTGTGGCTGCGGAACAATTCCCACGAACCGAGGGCTTCCAACAGCGGGAAAGGTCCCCCGAGGTCCAGAGGCCAGTCGCCCGGGACAGTGTCACTGGCCGAATGGAAGCCTGCAGGGCTCACCCTTCCACAGGCTCAGGGGAATCCGCTCCTCCCCTCTCCCAGCTTCTGCGGCTACGGCCTCCTCGGCTCGCAGCCCCATCACCCCAGGCTTCAAGGCCAGCACCTCCACCCCCTCTGCCTCCCTCTCACAGGGATACACCGACTGCAGTCAGGACCCCCGAAAACCCAGGGCAACCGCCCATCTCAAGACCTTTACTCAGTCCCGTGTGCAAGCCCCGCCCCCTTTCTGTCACACACAGTAGCCTTCAAGGTGTCAAGGACGAGGCGTGAACATGGCTTGGGGCCACTTTTCGGCACGACACACCCTCTTACCCTCTGCTGCCTGGGCTGCGGGTGCCGAGGTGCACAGGCAGAGGGCCAGGGAGCGCAGACCCAGCAGGGCGGGGCGGTGCTCCGAAGGCACCGTGCAGCCTCAGCCCTGTGCAGAAGCCTGGTCAGGCCAGGGCCAGTGCGGCACGGTGGGGGAGGGACCACAGCCTCCGGGAGAGGGCAGGGTCCCAGGAGGCCGGCCTGTCCCTCAGTGATAGGGGAAGGGCGGTGAGAACAGGACCACAGTTGTCTAGTGGTCACCCGCCCCCCTGACTGCAGATAAGAGGTGTCTCACAGGCCCTGGGAACGGGAGGGGGGACCGGAGGTCAGCCGCGAGGAGAACAGGCTGGAAAGATAAGCTGCCTGGAGCCAGAGGGTCCATTCCTCAGGAAGGAAAATACATTTGAGAACAAAGGACAGGACAGGCTTTGACTCGGACGCTGTGCCTGGACCCCGACACCCCACTCCGGGAGCAGCTCAGGAATGCTGCCTTCTCTGGTCCGGGGGACGGTGGGGTTTCCACATGATAAAAAGTCAACTACCTTGTAATGGACTTCAGGGTCCTGGGAGGAGACAGGAGCATGGGCCGCGCCCCTTCCCCTGCACACAGCCCCTTTCCTACTCATCCCCACACAACCAGTTAACCCACAGGTGTTGGGGCAGAACCTACAGGATGGCCCGCGGCCCCGCCCAAACTGCCAGCAGTATTGGAGTAAACGCTCATATACGATTCTCTGTCTCTGCACAATTGGGCTCAAGTAGTGAGAGGGGCCCGACCCGCTTCCTGTCCCGTTTCAATGGCTCCCGACCCCCCAGGCTGCCCCCCCACCCCCCCGCGGGAAGCTGCTGGCCACAGCAGGTCAGGGCAGCGTGCTCAGAGCAGCAGGGACAGGGCCTTCCTCTCAGGGTCTCAGGGTGAGCAGCCTGCCCCACCCCCACCTCCCCAGACATATGAAAGATCTAAGTCATAAACCAGATAGAAAACATGTCCTGTTCTGCCCCTGGGACCAAGTGGGCCCCCGAAATGAAGACAGTCTGGAACAGGGTGTTGCTAGCACTGAGCTTGGCCTTATTCTTCAGGCTGCACTCGAGGGCACACACAGGCCCTGCACCTGCAAACCCTGGCTCTCGGGGCCTGCACCCGCGAATCCGGGCGCTCGGGCCCTGCACCATAGAACCCAGGCCCAAAGCCCAGAACAGCATAGCGCCCAGGGCACCAGGGCCGCCCTTCTCCCCCCTCTACAGATGGTGCCCCCGAGGGCCTGGCCAGAAACCCCAACAGCTGCCCCACACTCGAGGAGGGGGCTCCCAGGGAAAGGACATAGCAGGCCCCTCCTCTGCACCAGGCCCCTCCTGTCCGCCAGGCCCCTCCTCTCTGCCAGGCCCCTCCTCTCCGCCAGGCCCCTCCTCTCCGCCATCCTCTCCACCAGGCCCCTCCTCTCTGCCAGGCCCCTCCTCTGCACCAGGCCCCTCCTCTCCGCCATCCTCTCCACCAGGCCCCTCCTCTCCGCCAGGCCCCTCCTCTCCACCATCCTCTCCGCCAGGCCCCTCCTCTCCACCATCCTCTCCACCAGGCCCCTCCTCTCCGCCATCCTCTCCACCAAGCCCCTCCTCTCCGCCATCCTCTCCGCCAGGCCCCTCCTCTCTGCCAGGCCCCTCCTCTGCACCAGGCCCCTCCTGTCTGCCAGGCCCCTCCTGTCTGCCAGGCCCCTCCTCTCCACCAGGCCCCTCCTGTCCGCCAGGCCCCTCCTCTCCACCAGGCCCCTCCTCTCTGCCAGGCCCCTCCTCTGCACCAGGCCCCTCCTCTCCGCCAGACCCCTCCTCTCCACCATCCTCTCCGCCAGGCCCCTCCTCTCCACCATCCTCTCCACCAGACCCCTCCTCTCCACCATCCTCTCCGCCAGGCCCCTCCTCTCCGCCATCCTCTCCACCAAGCCCCTCCTCTCTGCCAGGCCCCTCCTGTCTGCCAGGCCCCTCCTCTGCACCAGGCCCCTCCTGTCCGCCAGGCCCCTCCTGTCCGCCAGGCCCTTCCTGTCCGCCAGGCCCCTCCTCTCCACCATCCTCTCCGCCAGGCCCCTCCTCTGCACCAGGCCCCTCCTGTCCGCCAGGCCCCTCCTCTCCGCCAGGCCCCTCCTCTCCACCATCCTCTCCGCCAGGCCCCTCCTGTCCGCCAGGCCCCTCCTCTCCACCATCCTCTCCGCCAGGCCCCTCCTCTGCACCATGCCCCTCCTGTCCACCAGGCCCCTCATCTCTACCAGGCCTCCCCCAGAGGCCCAGGGCCATTGCCCACGCAGTCACTGCCCCAGCCCCGCACTCACCCTCCCAGTGTCCTCTGCCCCCCCCACAGAAAAGCAGGGTGCACTGGCTCCTTCTCACAGTCTTGGTCTTGCTACCCAGCACACCTCAAGCCAGTCGTGTGCAAACCACTTTGCAGGAAGCCCCTCCTCTCAGATTATTTTGGGAAAAATAATCACATCTATGGAGCCCGGGTGGGAAAGGTGTGTTGCTGTGCGGCAGGGCAGAGGGAGGACAGCCCGACACTGAGGCAGTCCACTCCACCAAAGGAAGGCGAGAGACCCTCCAGGCACAGGTGGGCCCCCATCAAGACAGCCCTGCTGCCCGGCCCAGCGCGGACCAGGGCCATCCGGCAATGCCAAGACATTGTGGGATGCCCGAGGTGAGGGCTCCCCTGGTCAGCACCCCCTGACTGGGTGCCAAACCTCAATGGGAAGCAGAGAGAACAGCCCCCCACTGGTCACAAAGGGCAGGAGGAGTGGGCGCCCCATCTGCGGAGCCCGCCCCGGACCGTGCGGATGAGGGCACTTACCACGTTCCAGAAGAGCGGATTGAAGATGATGGTGAGGACGGCGGCCACAAAGCAGGGTTCGGCGGGGTCCACAGAGCCCAGCAGCCGGGTCATAATGCAGAAGTCTGCCTGCGGGGACAGCGCCCGTGTCACAGGAGGCCCCCCGGCCCCTCCCGGCCTGACCCGGCCCACACGGGGAAGCCTGAGGGGCGAGGAGCCCGCAGAGCTCAGGAGTTACCCTCTGGAAGCACACGGGGAGGCTCGGCAAGTCCGAGTCCAGCAAAGGTTACTCCGGTGCAGCCTCAACGCCGAGATAAAGAGCCGAAACCCAATCAGCTGTGTCGTGCCCTGTCGGGCCAGCGAGCCACAGCGCAGGGCAACGGGGGTGCTGGGCTCGCAGGAGGAGTGTCCGCACCCCAGGGGGACGTGACCCCAGGGGGACTGACGTGGGCGTCAGGAGTGTGTTGTGACGGGGACCCTGCCAGCTGTGCAGAGGTCCCAGAGCTCACGGGAGGGGCAACGTGAGAGGAGATAGATGCAGAGTCCCAGCTGCAGCCAGGCAAAGCAAGCTGAAGGACGGGGCGTGCCTCTCTCAACAGCCTGAGTGACACAGTCCCGAGTGCTCCCAAGGCTGTGGACTGAAAGGATGAGCTCGCACGTGGCCACGGAGAAACTCACACGCGTGTGCCCAGCGTGCGTGCCAGAATCTTCCTGTCTGCACACTTGCAATGAAAACGTGTTGGTCTGTGGAAGAGTGGATAGATAAAACTGCGCCCGGCCGTTCCTAAGGTGCAGCTACAGAATGTAACCAGCTAGATATGTATCAACATGCGATACTCTGCAAGCACCCGGACTGCAAGCTGCAGGCCTCCCAGAGCACACGCGCCCATTTCAGAGGCAACAGCCAAGCTCATAGACTGAATTCTCTCTGTGTTACCTACGGACCGGCTGCAGCATGAACCCACACTGCCCGCTGTATCCCATCCTCCACACGGGACCCTCGGCCAGGGGGGATCCCCGGCAAAGTGGATGTTCAGCAGCAACCCTGGCCTTCACCCACTCAACGCCGGCAGCTCTCCCCAGCTGTGACAACCAAAAATGTCTCCAGACGTGCCCAAAGGTCCCCCAGGGACAGAACTGCCCACGGTTGAGAACCCAAGAGGAGAGAACAGTGGAACTCTTTCAACATTGATTTCTATCTTTAAAGAAGATGAGACACACCTCCAACATTGCGAGTGGTATTTCCTGAGTCCCTGCATTGTTTTCTGTACTTTTCTTCTCAGAAGGGAGTCAGGGGCCCAGAGCGCTGACTTACTGTTGTGACTCTCCCAGGCAAGTCCCAATAGAAACAGGTCTAAATGTAAAATAAGTCTGTCTATCAGAGTTCTGACCTTTCCTGTAATGTCTGTTTTCATGGTGTTCTGTTGTTCGGTTTTGTTGCTTGAGGATGTGGAATATTCTTTTTTTTTAATCCTCACCCGAGGACATTTTCCATTTTTTGTTCAGATAGAGTGGGAGGGAGAGAGAGGTAGAGAGAGAGAGAGAGAAACATCGACGTGAAAGGGGCACATCGAGTGGCTGCCACCCACACAACCCAACCGGGGCTGGGGACAAACTGCAACCGAGGTACGTGCCTTTAGCGGGAACCGAACCCGGGTCTCTCTGGACCGCAGGCCGACACTCTAACTGCTGAGCCAAACCGGCCAGGGCTGGAACGTTCTTTTAAGAAGCATTTGTCCTGCACTTCTGGGGGTTGGGGACAGAGATGTTCCCAAGCCCCCAAGCCCTGGAGGGCAGGCCCCAGCCTCTGCTTCACCTTTTTAAAATCCTGACCCGAGGATATGCTTATTGATTTTAGAGAGAGGGGAAGGGAGAGAGAGAAAGATACAAACACTGATGTGATACAGACACATCAACTGGTTGCCTCCCACACACACCCTGATCAGGGATTGAATCTGCAACCCAAGTATGTGCTTTTGACAGGAATCAAACCCATGACCCCTCAGTGTGCTGGCCGAGGCTCTAATTGCTGAGCGACCGGCCAGGGCTCCACGCTCGGCTTCGCCGAGACCTCCTGGCAGAACTCAGCCTGTCACCCAGACAACGCTGCCTGACCACGGGTGTGACGTGGGGAGGTCCCGGAAGGTCACTGAGCGTGCAGGATGTAGCCCGGCACGTCCCTCACATGTGTGGCCCTCGTCTCCCGGTCAGCTGTCTTTCTCCAGGGCAAACCTTCGCCTCTGCATGGCCAAGGGCAGACTATGCAGACACTCCAACTCAGACCAACCTGGGGGGTGGAGGGTGAACGGGCCCACGAAGGGATGGAGGGTGCGCTGGCCCCTGGCCGTGTGCGTGAAACCTCTGCGAGAAGTGACCCCGTGAATGACAACAGCAGCAGCTCAGCGAACAGGGAGAAGAGCCCACTGGGGCATAGCCTCTGGGCACCCTGTGGGCAGTGCCGACACCACCTGGCAGGCATGCACACCGCACCCGGCCTTCCAGCTTCCTCTGTGTCGCCCCAGGCTGTGCCCAGCCTCAGAGCCGCCAGGTATCTCACAAAGCCCAGGACTATAACCGGAGTGTCCAGCCCCTGGAGAACACACCACGCGAGGTGAAGCCTCGTGACGGATGAACAATGGGACAGGCCTCCGAACAGGCTGCACTGACCCACAGAGACGCCATGCCTCAGTCCGAAGCCCCAGAGCCTCTCGGGCTTCTGTCGGATGCGAATCCTTGGTCACAGCGCCTGACTGCAGGCCCTGTCCAGAGGGGCGGTGGAGGGCTCCAGGTGGGTCAGGAGCCGCAGGGAGGGACAGGAAAGGGAAAGGGGCCGGGAAGCACCAGCCCTGCTCGGTCAGCTGCCATGTCAGTGGGCGCAGGCACCTGGTCACTGTGAACAGACCGTGCCCTCTCCTTTGCCCCATCCACAAGCTCCATCTGTTTGGTGATCCCATTGCTCCCTGCTCAAAACTCCTCCAACACAGCCGCCGCCCTGAGAGGGTGCACTTGGACCCCAGCTGGCTCCCCGGGCTCCTCACCTGCACAGGGCTCTCATCGTGGCACCCACTGACCGGGACAGGGTCACCTCCACTTACCTCACCTGCCATCCTTCCTGCCCCGCCCCACACCCACACCGAACAGCCAATCCAGACCCTTCCACGAGGACGTGTGCACACCTGAACCGTCTCTGCAACTTCCTCCTCCAGCAAATTCCGTTCACCCCTCAACACTCGCAGGGAACAGCTGCTCTGCCCTCACATGGCACCCTCTGGCTCCTTAGAGCCCACCCCATCACACACATCTGGCGACCTGTCCCTAGCTCGCCTCTGTTCTTCTAGGCTGGAGCCTTTCCTTCTCCCTCTTCTGCACCTTCTGCGTAACACAAAGACTAAATGTTTGCTGGGTGGACAGTGACCTTCATCCAGTCGTCAGTAAAAGGCAGAAGCTAAAGGTACATCTCTGAGGGGCCCTCCAGCCTGCTGCTGGTGCTCCTGGGACTCGGATCCCCTCCCTGCGGGCTTCTGACTGGAGGCAGGGAAGCGCCCGAGGGGCCACACGGGATTGTGCAGGTGAGCACATCCCCCAGCCATGGAGGCCAGGTGCTGTCCAGACGCTGCGCTAAACATATATTTATTTCTATGGCATCTCTGAAACTAAGAAATCCAGCCACGTTCACCAGCAATGGCAGGAGGTGGGACGGTCAGACCCTCGGGTTCTCAGAAATCCCAGGGGTGGGATCTATTGAAGACCGTCTCCCTGGCCGAGACCGTGCCCGTCCCCGGGTGTGCGTCTGGGTGCAAGGTGCTCAGGGAGGACCCCCTCCATCCTGACTCCATGACCCATCCAGGCACCACTATGCCTTCATCGACTCCATGAGCCAGGCGTCCCACCAGCCAGCTGCTTGGCCGCCCGCAGCTCCCATCCGAGGCCCCGAGGCCCAGCCTTGCGCTGAGCGGTCGGAGAGGAGCCCGCGGCGCACCTGGGGCAGGAGCTGTCGACCGTCGCACTGAAAGCCGGCCCCGCTCTGGGTTCACAGGCGACTGGACGGGCGAGGGTACGCTGTCAGCCAGCCCCCTTCAAGGGAGCCCGCCTGGTGCCGTGGTCAGGCAGCGCGGTGATGACGGAGACCCCGTCGGGCGCACAGCTGGCTGCAGCCCAGTTCTCAGGGAGCAGAGAGCAGGACAGTCTCTCCGCCCCCGACCCTGCGAGCTGCAGGTCACCCTCAGCGCCCCGAGGCCCTGCCTCCCCGGCCCCACTGTGTCCACAGCCTGCCCTGTCGGGGCTCTCCGGCCTTCACCCCGGCACTGTGCTGGCGGGGAGGCAGGTGCTGGCTGAGGGCACGCACACCTTCCAAGGACGGGACACCGCGGTCCAGGCATAGCTGGTGTGCTCCCAGCTCCGCGTCCGAGCAAGAAGAGAGTGTGAGTGTGAGGTGCAGGGCAGAGCCTGTCCCGCTGGGGGCCCAGCCCTGGGGAGGCAGCAGGAAGGGGAGAGGAGGGCAAGTGGGTCAGGGGAGCCTGAGAAGGCTCGGTACCCAGACGGCGCTGCCCGGGGAGCGAGGCTGGGCGCAGTGGAGGGCACGGGACTCTCCAGGAGGGAGCCTGAGTGGCCGGGAGCGTCTACAGGTCCAACTCGAAGCGGCCGAGTCGCGTGCCTTCCCAGGGTGCACGCACACTCTGGGGGAGCATTAGCACCCAGCAGCACTGGTCGAACTCCAAGTGGCCGAGGCGCATGCCTTCCCGGGGTGCACGTACACCTCTGGGGGAGCGTTAGCACCCAGCAGCACTGGTTGAACTCCAAGTGGCCGAGGTGCATGCCTTCCCGGGGTGCACGTACACCTCTGGGGGAGCGTTAGCACCCAGCAGCACTGGTTGAACTCCAAGTGGCCGAGGTGCGTGCCTTCCCGGGGTGCACGTACACCTCTGGGGGAGCGTTAGCACCCGGCAGCACTGGTTGGACTCCAAGTGGCCGAGGCGCGTGCCTTCCCGGGGTGCACTTTGGGGGAGCATTAGCACCTGGCAGCACTGGCAGCCGGGAATGGTGTTCCCCGTTTTGCCACCAGGACCTTGGGGTAGACACTGTCCTCTCAAAATGCATAAGATGGTTCTGAGAATTCAGTTCAGCATCAG